AATGCTTTAGAAGTATGCACATCCAGCCCTGGCTGGTGTAGCTCAGGGGATTGAGCGTGGGCTGCGAACCAAAGTGTCGCAGGTTCGATTCCCAGTCAGGGTACATGCCTGGGTTGCAGGCCATGACCCCCAGCAACCGCACATTGATGTTTCTCTCTCTCTCTCTTTCTCCCTCTCTTCCCTCTCTAAAAAATAAATTAAAAAAAAATTAAAAGAAAAAAAACGTATACACATCCCCATATTCTGTGACTACTGAAAGGTGCGGATGAATCCTGCTGTTCGTTTCTACTACACCGCCGCGTACCACGGCCACTCACAACCACTTCCTAACCCACACGTGCAAGACAAATCGAAATGCATTTTCAGAAGAAGTGTAGCTCCTAAAATCTAAGCTTTACACCCAAGGATTCAGCATGAGACAAGCGTACACCTCCCACAAACACGGAGCCAAGCCCGTGGACCCCCAGCCCCTACGGGCACCCCTATAGCCTCTGCCTCTGAGCACGCTCTGTGCATGGGAGCTAAGTGCCCCATGCATCCCATGCTTCCCCAGACTATTTCTGGAGGATGCCACCCCAGGCACAACTCCCGGGTAGTCCGAGTATGGACATGAAGGTGTAACAGGAGTGAGTGTGCCCGCAGGTCTGGAGAAGCTGACACACAGTCGGGAGAGAACCCTGAGAGTCACAAGTGACACAGACACCCCAGGTCCACAAGACCAGGTGGGCCTGGTGGGGCCCGCTGCCCCTCTTCAGGGAGTGACTATGGGGGCAGGGGAGGTGAGGAGGTAGCTGAGCCGTTCCGGAGGACAAGGGTTCTCTGCGTATCTATGTCGCCAAGAAGATGCTTCCACGTTGTGGGCCGCGTGTGAAGCTACTTGGCCCAATAAGGACACGGGACTAACCCCTATTTCCGAGTGTCTCTTTAAGCCGTGACACTCGACCCGGAGCTGGCTGTGCAGTCGTCCAGCCGAAGCCCCTCCAGTGTGGACGCGGGCCAGGAGCTGGTAAGACATTCGCCACGCCCCCGGACACATGACGACACGTTTCTAGGGCCCTAACACGTCTCCAACCCCTTCCATCCCGTCACCTCCCTCCTTGCGCTTCATTGTAAGGAGTTCATCGAAAAGAAGAGAGAATCTCTACGTATAACATTCTGAAGCAACTGTTTATAAAGATGGAAAACTGAAAACCTACATTTCTAACAACAGCAGATATTTAAGTAAATGGGACAGTTCCATTTGATGGAATACCTAAACCCGTTAAATTATTCATTTTGAAGGCACTGCAGCAAGCAATGTAACTCCTCAAAATGCAACGCTAGGAGAAAAAGCGGGATCGTTCGATCTGCGGTAGGTGTGCACTCACAGAAAAACGTCTCGGCGTGGGTGACGTCAGTGGGGGAACAACTCACAGGCGATTCTGACACGAATGTGAAGCAGGAGATGCTTCTGTTTCTGTTCCCAAGTCTTGCATTGTGTTAAGCTGCTCGACAAAGGTTTGTGGAGGCTGGTAGCCCCAGGATCAGGGAACCAGTCAGGTGCTGTCAGAATGTATCCTCACTCCGTTCCTGCCTGTGCGTGTATAAACAGACTCCTCTGGAGTCCCATCTGCATGCGGGTCTCCTTCCGCGGGCTCGTGGGCACCTGCGAGGGAGGGAGGGGCCCGTGGGCCTCCAGAGGCGGCACAGGGGACACCATCGGGCCCCCACTCTGGAGGTGAACAGGCCCGGGGTGGGTCCCGGCTCACCCACAGGCTGTGGGACTCCCGTGACCTCCCCGGTAAAGTGCAGGTGCCGGGCCTTCCCTGGCTGAGTCGTGACCATCCCCACGTGGGTGGGAAAAGTCGTCCCTGCGGTGTCAGTGGTCCTCATGGTTTGTATCATCATCGGACGCAGGTTACACTTTTGCCCTCAGAATGCAGATGGGAAATTTTCGGCTCTAGCTTAGCATTACATTACTTAGAAAACAAAACTTGCTCTGGGCAGGCGGGCGTCTGCATCTTCATCATCTTCAACCGTCTGAGCACTCTAGTCTGGGGCGGCACGTTCATTTCCTGGACCACGTCACTGCCCAGCTTGAAATCCCTCCGCGGCCCGAGGACCAAGTCCACACTCATAGCTGGCCGGGCATCTGGGGTTCATCCGTGTGCCTCCCGGCCTCGCACGCCACCGCGGGAGGGCTAAGCGCCCTGCAGTCACCCCCCCCCCCGCCCCACCCCAGTGACCAGGATGACCCTTCACCATTCGCACTTCCTGTCCCCTTTCTCTGAAACACCCTCTCCCTCCCCCCACTCCTCCTCCCCCGACTCCTCCTTCCCTGGTAACTCCCACCATCTCTACAAGGCTGAATTAAAGTCTAAGCTGAAGTCTCCTCCCACCCATCCTCCTGGCTCCAGGGTTAGGGACCCCCCCCTAGCACAGCCCCGCCCCCTGCGCTCCCTGCAGGGGCCTGGCTCTGCCTTTGCTCCCGGAGCTCCCTGAGGGTTGGGACCCGGCCTCCAGCTTCTCCGTGTCCCTGGTGCCCCGCACAGGGGGCAGATGTGGAAAAGAGTTTAAGTACCTGTGACAGAAAGAAACCGACTGGTGCCAGATCAACGAGTTCCACTGGCACACGGAAATAATTAAGAAATATGCTAGCAACGCCGGATAAGTTAATGTGTCACTGGGCTGGCCGCTGGCGCTAGCCTTGTGTTTCAATGAGCCTTGAAACGGGCCCTTGACCTTGAGCCCCAGCCCCTTCTGGAATGAGGAACCAGAGCAGGAAAATCGAAAGGCTGTGACGCTGGCTGTAAGCAACTCTTTTGCCGGTAAGCATCTTCAAGCTCATTTTGAGGGGATGAGGGACCGAGACGGTGGTCAATATGGGGGAGTAAATCTCCTCCATAAATGAAGAGGAAGATGCTGAGGGGACCACCCCGAGCATGACCTGTGGCCCCGGCTAGAACCACGAAGGCCTGACCTCGGATGGGGTGTATAAGTTTGCGCTTTCTTCCGAGAAGGGGGTGCAGGGCTCCCATCAGCGGGGACTCTGTTACGGGCTGAGCTGTACCCCCCAAACTTCCTGTGTGGAAACCCCAACCCCCAAGGGGCCTCAAAGGAGACAATGCATGTTAAGTGAGGTCACAGAGTGCCCCCAAATCTGATGGGACCGGCGTCCCTACCTGAAGAGGAGCAGCCCCCCGAGACCTCCGGTGCCTCCAGCCACAGCGAAAAGGCCACGTGAGGACCAGCGAGAAGGTGGGCGGCGGTCTGAAAGCCAGGACGAGCGTTCTCTCCAGAAACTGACCGTGAGGGCGCCTCAGTCTCAGTCGCCCAGCCCCCAGCACAGTGAGAGGTCACACATTTCTGCTGTCCAAGCCGCTGCCTAGAACGAGTCTGTTGTTTCCATGTGTGTGGTGTCCTGTTAGAGTCGCCGGAGCTACAGACCCAGGCCGACCCCTCCCCAGAACAGGCAGGACCACGCTGACTTGTTGGGGAAAGAAAGTCTCTGGCCCACGCCCTCCTGCCCACCGTCAGTCAGTGCGCCTTCTCGGAGTGTCTGGGCCCCTTGGAATGCCATCGCACGGGACACAGGTGCCCCCTCCGGAGAGGAGACCCACCCCCAGCAGGCTGGCGCAGAGCAGAGCAGGGCTGGAAAGGCTGATGGCCGAGTCAAGTTCACTGACTTCCGTGAGAAGGTCAGGGTCAGCGTGCACGTAGCTGAGGAAGAGTTCAGTTACACGGGGTCCGAATTCTTCCTGGGACACACAGGAGCCTCCACCCCCTCCCGGTCCCCCTCTCCTCTGTCAGCTCCTGGATCCCCACTGGCCTGCGCTCCACACTGAAGAACAGGGAGGAAGGGCCTGGGCCTCCTCAGTCCCCCAGCGCCCCGGCCTGGCCCTGCCCACTGCCCTCATCACCACCGCTGGTCATTGGCTATTCCGTGCCTCTGGACCAGAAACTCCTTCAAGAAAGATCGCATGGGCCTGACTCAATTGTCTTCGGCTGCAGGGCAGTGTCCTTCTGAAAGACGCTGTCTGGGCCAGCATGCGACCAACCCCACAGCCCTGTGGTGCTGGACACCACTGCCTGGGCACAGCAGCCCGGGGGGCCCACCGTCCAGCCTCAAAGCCAGCTCTGCCCCTTTGCAGCTGTCACTAGGACACGTCTTTTTGTCGACTGTGAAATGGAGGAAGAAAAGTCCGGAGCTCCCAGGGTTGCTCTGAGGCCCGAGCGGCCACAGGAGGCCCCAGCGCTGGGCCTGGCGCTCAGGAGGCTTAGCCCGCCTTCAGGGCGCGGTGGAGACCAGGCGGCAGCAAGGAGCGCTGGGAGGCAGAGAGCTAACAGGAGCCACGCGGTGGTTGAACCGCTTTCGTGTGGGTGCCGGTGGTTCGGCTTCCAGCTACCGAGCGGAATAGCAGGCGGTGCCCTAATCTCCTCTCACGGGAGACGAACCACGGTTTCAGGGAGGTTGGGCACGTGGCCCACGGACACGGAGCACTGGGAATGGGGTCCTGCTAGTCCAGATAATTGCCTCTAGCCCTCCGGGCCGCAAGGGCCCCCAGCGCTGGGGTGTAGAGGCGGTGTGACGGCCCGCGCCACCCCGCCGCCGGCGGGGCGCCTTCCACGGAGTTCAACCACCAGAAAGTTTCCCTCGGCCGTCCTGGGCGGTGAGGCTGGCGGCGGCGTGGGAGCGGCGCTGCACGAGGCGCACGCACCGTGGACACACGCGCCAGGCCGCCCCCTTCAGCCCCGGGCTCTGCCGGAGACCCGGCTTCCCCGGGACTCGCGCCCAGGCCGCGCGGGACTCGCCTCGACAGGCCACACCTCCCCTCCATCCCCGAGCGAGGGCTTGGGTTCCCCTCTCGGAACCTGCCTCCCGCGCCTTACGGGCCGCGACAAGCAGGGGCTGCCGGGGTGGAGGCCCCGCGCCTGGGGCCTGGGCAAGGCGTGAAGGGGAAAGGGGGACCCGGCCGAGGCCCGAGCGCGGCGCGCAGCGGCGGCGCCCCTTGTTCTCTTACCTTCCTCGTTCTCGTCAAACACGGCGGGCTGGTGGGAGTGGTTCCCGCCCATATTCCGCCGCGGCGACTGCCGCTGCTGCCGCTGCTACATGCCCGGCGGCGGGGATGCGGATGCTCCGTGCGCGGTGCGGAGCGAGGGGTGCCGGGTGCGCCGTGAGGGTTGCGGGACGCGGGGTGCGGGGCGAGCGCCCAGCTCGGGCTGCAGTCGCGCGCCCAGCGGTAGGGGGCCGAGCGCCGCGCAGGGGCGGGGACGGCGGCCGCCGCGCCCCCTCCTCCCCAGTCCCCCTCCTCCCAGGCGCACCCCGGGCTGCGCTCTCCAGTCCTCTGCGCCCCGTCCTCCCAGGCGCACCCCAGGCTGCGCTCTCTGGTCCGCCGCGCACGCCCCGGAACCCGTGGGCTCTCTCACGGTGTCGGGTCCACGGAGCGCGCTTTTCACCAGCTGCAGCGAGCGGGAGGAGGCACGGCGGAGGAGGAGGGAAGGAGGAGGGAAGGAGGAAACGGGCGGGGGCTGCACGGAGGTGGCGGAGGCGGGGGAGCTCAGCTCCGGGGGACGGCCTGGACCAGGGGGCGTGGCGTGCACGGAGCGCCGGATCAGGCCCGGGGGGCGGCCTGGAGGAGGGGGCACGGAGCACCGCCTCCCCGCCACACCCACCCTAGCCGAGTGCAGGGTCAGCCCCAAGGACTTGAGATTCTGGCGTCGGGAGCTGCCTCCTGGCAGTAAGAGATTTGTAAGCACCTATTGTGTGCCGCGGGCCCCGACATGCTCCTAACCGCCCCCCCTGCCCCGTCCTGCCAGGTGCCTCCTGCCCTCGGTCAGAAACATCATTGCCCCCCATTTCAGAGCCCGTTGGACGGAGGTTCAGAGGTGAAGGAGTTCCGCGGTCAGGGGTTCGTCCTTCCTGGCTGCCAGGGGCGCCCCCGCTGCGCCCCACTGGGCCTTATTGCCCGTTTCGGCGGAGACCTGTTCTCCAAGGCTTTTTTTCCTCTTCTGTGTTTCTAAGTGTTGAATGACTTAACGTAGGGTCCAGACCTTTCAGGGTCCAGCCTGGCCCCTTCATTGTGCGTGGGGAAACTGAGGCCCCACAGAGACTGTTGTCTGCACCAAACCCTTCTCCCCAGGGGTCGCCGGCTGGGCCTGGGCCTCGGGATTCCCCCCCCCCCGCCCCCATTTTCCCGAGCCTCGGAGTCTGATTAAGGGGCGATGCGCCTACGGGTCGGTGGGCCCCCGGGGGCAGGAGGTGGGGAGCCCTGACGGGGGGCCGGGGGTACGCTCCGGGGACCGGGTACTAAAGACTGGGGCGCAATGGGTCCGCCCCGAGGCTCCTGGGGCCGAGTGGGACGACCTCGGACCCTTAGAGGGCGCTCCCAGAGGGAAGCGCAGGTTACGCGAGGAGCACACGCCCTGCCAGCTCCCGCCGCCGGGCCTGCGTCGGCGGCCACAGGCTGCCATCTGCTGGGCGCCTGAAGCCACTGCCGGTGCTGTGGGAGGAAGCGTTTCTTTCCGAGTCCAAGGCACCCCGTCTCTCTCTCCCTCTCTCCCCCTCTCCCTCTCCCCCTCTCCCTCTCTCTCCATCCCTCTCTTCCCTTCTCCCTGGCGGGGGCGGGGGGTGGGCAGTTGTCTCCTCATCCAACACGACAGAAACGCCCGGACACATGGAAACGCAGAGACGGCGGCATGCAGGGCAACCCGGGTCAAGTTCCAGGACTGGCCCCCCTGCGAGGCCCCTGGTAAGCTTCATTCGCATACAGCCGGGGTCTCCTACCGTTTCCCGACCGGCTGGCTGCCTTGGGGGTCGCCCCTGTGTGTGAAACGGGAGGTTGACATTAACAGCCAGGGTGGCTGTGAGGATTACGCCAGGCAATATTTATAAAAGCAGATGACCTGACAGTGCCAGGCACATAGCACAGGATCAATAAATACGTGCCTCTCATTCGACCAACGGGCACTGGTTGGGTGGCTGGCCCGCCCCAGCAAGGCACTGAACCCAGATACCTCGGGAGGCAGCGGGAGGGATGAAGTCTGGGCCCTGCTCTGCCCGGGTGTTATCCCACTTTGCTACACTCTAACGGGCCAATGCGGTCAACCGCTCTGGTCTCAGTTTCTTCATCTGTACAATGGGGTTAATAGTGCTTCCTTTCCCAGGGTTGCTAGGGGGAATAATGGATTGATGATGGTGCCTGAGACATGATGAGCACAACACGGGCACTAGTTGGTATCCGCAGTGATGAGCTGTTCTGGAAAGGGTCTGCTCACAAGTCTTCCTTCTCTCCCTGTGCTTACCTGTGCTCGCTGGGATGAGGGGTGTGCCCCTCCCCCCACGCAATGGCTGTGGAGCCATAGGACTCAGTTTGGCCAGTGGGAGATGGGAGGAAGTGACAGTGAGCCAGTTCCCAGTGGGTGATGGCCTTCAGAGATGCCACATGTCTCAGCTCCCTTGTGCTTTGTCCATCCACCCCGGGGAGCCCTGGCCCTGCAGCAGCCTCTGTCCCCAGAGTGAGAGACACAAGCAGCAGACCAAACCCACCTGAATCCTAACAGAGTTGCAGGCTCATGGGTAAGAAAAATACGTGGTCTTGTAAGCCACAGAGATCCGGGAGGGGGCGGTTTGTTTCCCAGCATTATCACAGAAGCTGCTGACTGATGCACACACTAAACAAACTGTCACACACGCAGAGACCGCACTGCGACGTGCAGCGGTGCAAGGACTCCCAGGAGGCCGTGGGAATGCAGAAGGCACTCGTCCCAGCCCTGAGAGGCAAGAGAGGTGGAGCGTTCCCAGAGAAGAGTCCTGAGCACCTGTTCCCTCCCCTCCCTTCTTTGCTGGACGAGCACATTCTGAACACTTATTGTGGGCCAGGCCTGGGCTGGGTGCTGGGCACAGACCCAGTAGGGAATAAGACAGGGTCTGTTTTCAGGGAGTTCAAGTTCAGAAGTCTCGTGTGGGACAAGGACAACACTCGAGAACGGGTCATACCTGCAGGTAACCCCTACCTGCGCCTCTCCCCACTTACAGACAATGGGCCAGGCCCTGTCTCTCCAGCGCTTCTCCTGGATTGCCGCCCCGTCTTAATCCTCAGACAAACCTGCCAGGTAGGTGTGGTCCTCCCTGCACTAAAGGTGACAAAGGCCGAATGATTGAGAAGTGGTGGACCTGAGATTTAAATCCTCAAATTAACCAGGCACATCAAATCCGAAAGAAAGGATGCGGGGATAGCGGCTACTTCCGGAGCTGCGGGATTCAGATCGTTTTCATTTTATTTTTCAGTGCCTTTGTATTATGTCACGTTATGTCCTGGCTGGTGTGGCTCAGTGGATTGAGCTCAGGCTGTGAACCAAAGGGTCTCCAGTTCAATTCCCAGTCAGGGCAGCACATGCCTGGGTTGCAGGCCAGGCCCTCAGTGCAGGCCATGTGGGAGGCAACCACACACTGATGTTTCTCTCTCTCTCTGTCTCCCTCCCTTCTGAAACAGGGGACACTCCTGGACATTTGTAGCCAAAAGAAGACAGGTGAGAACTTCAGGCTCTTCCTGCTGCCTGGGTGGGGGCTGCTGCTTCGGACAGCCGACAGGTCTCACATGTGATCTGACCACCCTAACCTGGGCCGTTCCCCCCGCCCCAGGCTCATTTTCAACCAGGAAGGTCTCCAGGTAAGGAAAGCAGATGGCTGGACTGCAAGGTGGTCCCTGCTCTTTCTCTCTGGTCTCCCGAGAGACCAGCCGCGTGTGGAAGCCTCCAGAAACCCTAGTTAGGGCTGGAGGGATTGGTTGCGCACTGCCGACCCGTCTGGCTGACTTCCTGCCCAGTTAGCGTGTCCCTCCCCCACTTCCCACGCCCGGTTGCGGCCGGCAGGCCCGCTGGAGAGAGTGGCTGGTCTTGGTTGCAGCTGCATCCTAGCTGAAGCCGACTCCAGGCTCACAGCCCAGTAAGGATTTGTATGGTCTCCTAACCAGGTGCAACACAGAGACAGAAGCAGAACCAAAGCCTCCTGCTTCTCTGCGCTGAGCATGTCTGGCTCTCCCGGAAGGCTGACTGTGAAGACACCACGGAAGTCACAGTGCAGGCCAGTGACCTTCAGCCCATGGGCTGTAAGAACTTTCAAACCAGGCAGTACCCAACTAGTCAGGGGCACTGACCTCTTTTGCCTTAGACTGTCAAATTTAAAAAAGAAATGACAACAGCCAACACAACAGTAGCCGTCTGGTGTGAAGGAGTCAAAATTATACCTATTTTTTGCCAGATCAGCAAAGAATGCCTTTTTGGGTGTGGTGCAGAATCTCGGTCAGTAGTTGACGTGAGCCGTGAGATGATCAAGGTCGAGGGTCACTGGTCCCAGGGTCCCCCCTGAATCTAACGAGGACCCCAGCCCACAAGTCAGTGTTCTCAGACCCCCCAGAGGCACAGAAATAACCACTGGGACCCTGCCCCTGACACACGCTGCCGTGAGCAGAGTCCTGGGGCCACCAGTCCTGTCGCCGAGGGCACGACCGAGCCTCCACCGGAGTCGCACTTGGAGCCGCGGACTCCAGCGGCCGTCACCTTCCGCTTGGTGCGACGCGGCCACGCCACAGAGGCTGACGGCACTCCCCAGGGCCGGGCGTCTTTGGTGCCACGCCGATTTTTACAGTCGGCCAGATCAGATTTTGTTCTCGTTTCCGGGAAGCCTGATTTATTGAAAACTTGACTCTGGTTCCCTTATCCGAAATACCGTCGGCCTGCCCTCCCGGGCAGCGCTGGACACCATCACGGGGGACGCAGACGACAGAGGTGCGGTGGTGCACCAAGGTCGGACACCGTTCGCACACTCGGTTCTGTGGTTGGAAACTGCTTCACTCAGGTAGCAAATGGTTCTGAATGGTGAAAACACAGTCATTTGCCCTGGCTGGCATAGCTCAAGTGGACTGAGCGCAGGCTGCAAACCAGGCATCACAGGTTCGATTCCCAGTCAGGGCACATGCCTGGGTTGCAGGCCACGGCCCCCAGCAACCGCACATTGATGTTTCTCTCTCTCTCTTTCTCCTTCCCTTCCCTCTCTAAAAATAAATAAATATAATCTTTAAAAAAAAGTCATTTCAGGAGTAACCCTTTATTGAGTCCCTGTGCGTACATGTGTGTGTGAGTGTGTGTGTGCGTGTGGAGTCCCACAAACCCCAAGTCCACAAACTGCCACTCGTGAGGTGTTCTGCGTGTCTTGGTGCCATGAAACCTCCCCGGAGGCACCGTCAGAGTTTGGAGCGTGGCAGCCGGCAGTGCTGAGCTCCTCGTTCTCACACGGAAACAGTGTGCGCAGCAGCCCCACTGCGCGACCTCAGGTTAGGTGGCTGTGGCGGATCCTCGCCGCGGTGTCAGCCGGGCGGGCGGGAAGGAGGGAAGGCTCCGCCATTGCCAGAAGCAGCGTCCGTGTTGTGCGTCTCACTGAGTCCCCCCGCCCCCCGCCCAGGGTTCATAGGGATTCGTAAGGGCTTTAAGGGGGTCGTCATGAACACTCGGAAACTGTACTTGAACTTGTGTGTGTGTGCACGTGAGCCTTTTTATGGGGAGAAGTTAAAGTCTTCCCCAGTTCCTTCAGAGGCGCCAGGAGCCCACCCTCCCTCAAAGACAGGGAGTAAGGAGCACCGGCCCAGAGAAGAGCCTACCAGGGAGAACAAGTTCCTCTCTCGGAAACCAGAACCACGTGCAGCAGGAGCGGGAGGGATGATCTCCTAAACACACCACGTGCTGAGCCGGCTCGGTGCCGCCGAGGAGGCAGGAGGCAGGAGGCGGGCCTTGTAAGTTCTTCTGCCACCGGCTCCCTTTGTGACCTCTGCTGAGCCTCTTCCCTTTTCCTGGACTCAGTTTCCCTCTCTGTAAATGGAAACAACGAAGGAGCTGTGCTCTATGGCAAAGACTGCTGCTCGATCTTTGGTATCCATTTGTCCCTGCTTTTTTTTAAAAGATAGCACACACCCAGTTTTAGCAGAGCACATGGCTATGTGGCTGGAGACTACATTTCCCAGCACCCTTTGCAGGTAGTTGTGGCCATGTGACTAAGTTCCAGCCAATAGGATGTGAGAAATGATGTGGCTAGGCACTGCACTCTCCCTTCCCGTTTCTGTAGGCCTACCGGCCAGGGTGAGCCAGCTTCGCCCTGCTGGTGAGGACCACACCCCAGGGAGCCACAGAAAAGCAGGTAGAAGGAGCCCTGCATCACTCATGCAGCAGTGTGCCCTGCTGGACTTGGGCTGCCTGCCCCCCTCTGGACCGTGAAGAGAGAATACAACACTGTTTTAGTTCAACTACTGTTTTTTGAACTTGAGGGCTTCTTTGGCTCAGCAGTTGAGCCGTTATTGAACTCGCACCGATCAGACGAATGCCGTCCAAGGTCGTCCTCCTCCCCCTCCCACCCCCAGCTTCCGGAACAGCACAGGCTCATAGCAGACCTCTGGCAAAAACGGAGGGCGGGACAAACAGATGAATGGGTGAAGGGGTTCCCCAGGCCGGAGTACATGGGGCTGATTCACCAGCCAGGTCGGCTGTGGGTGAGGTCATGTCTACGTGTGCTTCCAAACCTAAGACCCGTCACGTTGCCCCTCAGAACTGAGGGTCACCTGGGAGCAGCGCCGTGGTGACTGGTGCGTCTCGGCCGCGTGTTCACCAAACAAAGGGGGAGGTTTCTAACAGACACCTCCCTAGCACCCTCCCTAGTCATTCATTCAGTCACTCAACAAACATGTGCTCACCGCATGCTGGGCACCCGTGGGCAGGGAAACACACCCGTCCTCACGCAACCCTCGCACACCAGCGGGCGGAGCGCTGGTGAGCAAAAGCATTTTGGGCTGAGTGGAGGCTACCACCTGGCGATGTGGATTGTTGAGTCCCGGAGGGAGCTGGTCTCCAGGATAGAACTCTCTTTACCTTCGCTGCTTTGCTCTGGGGAAGTTCGTCTGTGAGAGCCGGCTCTCAGAGTCCTCGGGGCCTCCTCCTCAGTCTCAGTCCGCTCCCTGCACCTGCAGAGCAACTGGCATTGGTCAGCCACGAACCTGGGGGGCTCTGCAGGGGTCAGCGTCCCAGCCGGGGAGGGGGAAGAGCTGGCTGTGGTCTGAGCCCCGCACTGGCCGTTGGACCGACCGCCCGTTCGGTAATCAGCCCTGTGGTTTGGGCGAGTCATTGCCCTTCAGTGTCCCCCATCTGTAGAGCGGGGACCACGTTTCCTGCCCCACAGCCGTGCGTGAACTCCAAATCCGAGTGCCCAGCGGAGCTCCTGCCGCCCGCCAGTGGCCCCATGCTTGCGAGGGGAGGCCGATTCTGGAGCATGAGGACTGTTCCTCTGCCCGGAGGTGTTGCCGGCATCTGGTGGACAGAGACCAGGGCTGTTGCTAGAATATTTTATAATACGTGGGACAGCCCTCCACAACAAGGAAATATCTGTCCCAAGATGTCAATTGTGTCGACACTGGGAGCCTTCACTCTAATCCATTACAACTCCAACTTCAACGGGATCCATTCACACTGTTGCCAGAGAGCTGAGGCATGCGATGTACAGCGCCGCCTTTGCCTCGGTGTCTAGTGCGTGACTGCAGCACAGCATTCTGGGACGGCAATGGGAATTTTGGAAGCACTCGCCTCCGAATGTCAGCAGCGCGAGCTCTAGTTTTCCATCCACATGTGCATCGTTGCTGGCGGAACCTGGTCCTACCTGCTCGGGTCCCCTTGATTTCAGGACCCCCGGGATGGGGAAGCATCGCCATGGCCCGATCTGGCTGGCCAGGGTGGAGCTCCTGTTCTGAATGCACAGGTGGTTCCACCCGGACCCAATTTGCATGATCAGAACCCCATGGGGCCTGAAATAGGGTGGTGATGACGGTGATTACCAGTTAAGGTGTGATGGCTGTAGCATTTTTCAACCACTATTTATCAAGCACCTACTACGTTCCAGGCACTGTGCTGAGTACTGGGTATTCCATGGGGAAAACACTCATCACATCCAGCTGCTTCCAGACGGCGTTAGCATGTAATGTTTCACTTACTCAGACCTTGGATAAAGGCAGAAATGGTGTTGGTTACACATGAGAGAACAACACCTGCCCACAAGTGCACAATCACATTCTCTGCTGCCGAGAGCAGAGTGACTCCCAGGTCACAGAAGCATGAGAGGGAACTGTTAAGGGTGTCTGTTAGCCGACACGGCCCCTGGGATGCCCAGAGCCTGGTGCCACCAGGAGCCCTGAGTATACATACACACACTGAACAGGCTGCAACATGGTGCCACTGCGTCTAGGCACCAGCGTGGGAGACGCTGACCATCGCTACCCTCCTGCACCCACAGGACGGCCCCTGGTTAGATGCCACGCATGCCGACGGGTCACCCAAGACACTGGGGAAGGAAGCATCGCTGAGTGTGTTGTCCCCCTTTGCTAACTCCCTCCTCCTTTCTGCACGACACCCCAGTTCCTCCTCCAGCCCCTACCAGGACGGAGAACACTAGTCACCATTTACCCATTCGCTGCGCAATCACTAGAGGCCGAGTAGAACAAGAAGCATGTTGCAAAAGCGAATCACTTTAACCACCCCATAAAGACTACCTTTCCATTTTCCAATGCGAGCAGTAAGTCCCGGAGACTGATTCATCTAGTCACTTCCTCAGAGAACCTGTGCTGAGACCTCCCGGGAGGTGGGCCCTGCTGGGCGCTGGAATGAAGGACATGGGCGGCGCTCGCAGTGCATGATGGGATGAAAGCACTTGGCTGTAAAACACTGCAGCATGCCCCGAGGGGCCATGGGGCTCCGAATGCCAAGTGCCCCGCTGCACGCTAAATGCCTCCCCAGCGGGGTCTGTAAACGGGGGAGGCGTTCTCAGACGACTGTGCAGGTGCTTCTGGGATTCTGTGATCAAATTTACACCTCACCATAAAAGCACATTTTTAGCAGCATTTGAAGGAGGTCACTGGTGGTCGGTAGGGGGTCAAGCAGACACCAACAGGGGAAAGTGTGTCCCGCCTCTTGCTCTGACCTCACTGCAGGGCCTCCGCGCCGGGGCTACCACGGAAACGCACCCAGAACCCACGTGGGACGGTAGGGCCTGGCACAGACCCCGAGACCAGTGTAAGAATCAGCTGAATGAGCATGAGGATGAGGGTAGCTTTGTTTCCCTTCTTTCCAAAAGATAACACCAAGCCGGAGGCGTGCAGATTTCTCTGTAAAACACCAGACACGGGCACTACAGGCAAAGCTGTTTTTTAAAGTGTGCAGATCAATTTTTGCAAAAGCATCAGGCGCACACACACCCACACACAAAAAGAACAAGATCACGCCGCCAGCCGTGGAGATGAGAAAGCCGTGGCGGGAAGCCCCGCAGGACCGCAGAGCTTGTGAACGCTGCTGGTGACGTGGGTCTGTCCTGCCGTTCGTTCATCAAACGCTCCGGAGGAGGGGGGCGCGTGGAACATTTCCGGCGCCAGTCGCTGCGCAGGGTGCTCGGGACCCAGCTGGGAGCTACGGAGAAGACACTCAGAGGGAAGAACGGCAAACAAGCGAGGACGTGTGACTAACAGCAGGACGGGGGAGCACAGGAGTCCACGGGAGGACACGGCAGGGGCCGCTCGTCTTGCCCGGGGCCCGAACACGCCTTGTCAGGGAAGGGATGAGCCTGGCACCAGTGGGGCTCCGAGCAGGGAACAGCGGCCCAGGCCAGGGACAGTGAGGTCAGAAACCCAGGCACCATTACACAGGGGAAATGATGCATGTGACGCCCGAGTATAAAAGGTTATTATTATCACCGAGCAGGCAGTGAGAAAGACTTGATTAATGTCCACACTTTTCTGGTTCATCTTCTAAAGACTAAATGCGAAGCTGTAAGAGACACAGTTGTTACTTCACAAATTTCTGCGGAGCAAATGAATAAGCAACTAAGTAACAGTCCCCAGCTCCTGGGGGTGGAGGTGGAGATCGGAAGAGCCAGGTAACATTGTGTGAAATCTACGG